ATCCTACCTGATAAATCTTCCAATGCTTTTATTATACTTTATAATTAAAGATGCTGGTAAAATAAAAATAGAGAAATAACATATGAGTGAAAATCTCTAATTTTATAAGATTAAATAAAATTTGAGCCAATCATTGAGAATAAAGGTGATTTTTTGATCAAAGATTGTAAGCCCGATAATGAATTGCTTATGAATCGCTTATAAATTTACTCATAAATTTGTATCTAATTGTAACCTGATGCTTATAAATTTTTGTATATATGTACTTAGTTGCTTATAAATCTAATAATCACTGTTTTTCAACTGAAGATTTTCGCCCATATGAATAGTTTCACCACTATTTGTAAAACTGGTTTTAAATTGATGAAACTAATTTCACTAGCATCTCTATTTATCACTATAGTAGGTTTATTTATTTTTCAAATACGTGCCAATAAATAAGTCACATAGGTAGCAAGTTTTTAACAAAGTATGGAAATACAATAGAAGTATTCGAATAAAATTTTTTATAGGGTGATAACAAGCTTTGAACCCAATATATTTTAAGTCTATTTTTTATCATCAAAATTTGCAAGCAGATTTGTATTGATAAATAATAGCTATAATATTAATCGATATATCAGTGATAATTGCAAATAGATATCATACACTTGTAGTAATAATAAAAATAACTGATTTTTATTTATTGATTAAAAGAAACCAAATAATTTTTGTACATTTACAAATTTATTACATTTCAACCCTCATAAAAATCCAACTGTCAACTACAATCACTACAGGGTAACTTTATATTAACACCTTTTATTTTTTAATTACCTTAAAGTTAAGATTCTAGCATCCAAATTTTAATAATCTTCAATGAAGCAATACTACAAAATAAAGAATATTAGTCAAAAGAATGAAAAAAAAAAATTGAAAGAAAACAAAACTATAAACTGGTGCTTATATTTATTCCAGTTCTAGTTCCTTTTCAGTCAAAATCTTAATTCTTCAGGTTTCAAATCATCATTTCTGGCTCTCTTTAACTACTCATGGCGAAGCACTATCCACAAAAAAAAAAAAAAAAAGATTTATTGAAAAAAACAAATAACAAGAAAAAAAAAAAGAAAAACTTCGAAGATGATACTTATCATCTAATTTCCCACTGGGTTTCAAATCATTATTCTCAACTCTTTTTTATCACTCCAGGCAAAGCATTACCCAACAAGAAAAAAAAAAAAACTTCGAAGGTGGTACTTATTATCCAATTTCTCACCAAGTTTCAAATCACTATTCCTGACTCTCTTTAACTACTCCCGGCGAAGCACTACCCACAAAAAAAAAAAAAATTTTTTGAAAAAACTCAAAATAACAAGAAAAAAAAAGAAAAACTTTAAAGGTAGTACTTATCCAATTTCTCACCAGATTCTAAATCACTACTTCTGGTAGAGCACTGCCTAACAAGAAAAATAAGTGTTTATCATAAATAGATACCAGATCTTGTAGTCGTTGAATTGGATACTTGAACTATATCATACTGTGTAGTCAGTTTTATTGCTCTTGTATCCTTATTCTCTAGAATAATCACTGATTCAACATTATAATCAGAAGGTAGTGATTCATTTCTTGAAACATGTCTGCTTAGTAAAAATATGCAGATATTATACCAGACCCTC